GAGTAACTTCACGAAACTAAAATGCAAAGAAGAAACTAATATATATTTATTTTATTTATTTACGTCAAAAACAGTTAAAAAACTGTGTGTGACGAGCTATGGGGAGAAGTTAATTTCAAGTTACATTAAAAATATATACATAAGAAATATAATTCAGAAAATAAATGATTGCGGTCTCTAACTCCAGCCCCCGGTCTCTGGTTCTAATGGTAACTAACTCACCTCCTGAAAAAAAGTTCTAAAAAGGGCAAAAAGGATATTGAAAACGACGCGCATTATTACTGCGAAAAACGAAAACAAAAGGCCAACACAAGAGCGAAACAATGGACGGAGGATATTTGTGAGCGTTGAAGGATAAAAACAATGATCCACAAGGGCAGAGGCATGGAAGGGGTTCGAACCGCGAGGAGGGAGAGACGGGAACTCGACGCCGGGGCCCGCCGCGTGAACCAACGAGGCGCGAGAGTGGGCTTTGCGTACGTCGGGGCGCGTCGAGGCGAGTGGAGTTGAGTCAGGGGGGGGGGTGCCCGGCAGGGGAGCGTGCGACCGGAATTCGAACCGGAGACACGTCCGGTCTTCGGCGCGAGGGGGAGCGCAACCTGACACCTGCGCGGATGGCCAGCGCAAAGCCCTCGCGACGTCTGCGTCACGCATCATACCGCGCACGTGTTTAGGTAAAACCGCTCCGAAAGCAAAAAAAAATTCCCTTCAAACAAGGAACACGGGTAGGAAAGAGTACGAATGTGGGAAATGAAATTTTGAAAAAAAAGGTGCAGATGGGTGTGAGATGATTGAAATGTGAAAGAAAATAAATATGATAATTGAGAGTAACAAACGAAGGTGAGAAAGAGGGGCAAAGTATTATTATTATTATTATTATTATTATTATTATTATAATTATTATTATTATTATTATTATGCAATAGAAAATTCCCGGAAACGTTCTCAGAGTTCATTCATAACTCAGCCACGACCTTGCATGTCTATATTGGATGTTTACTGATGTAACTCAATTTACGTCTGAAGTAAATTGGTACTTAATAGGCACCAAATCGTTTCGAGTAAATTGGTCCGTTAGAGATCATTAAACAATCAGTAAATTAGATAAAGGTATTATTATGGTTTGTAGAATCTCCTGATTGACAAAATGTAACGACTGTTTCCACATAATTAAACATTAACTACTCCGAATTTGAATTTGGTCTTATTTAGTGGTTAGCTCTATTTTTAAATGCATGGTTACTGTTCCTACGGTAACGATAAATGCTTAAAAATAGTGCTCTGTATTGTCTTGATTAATGAAGAAATTGGAGAACAATACCCATAACGCTGTGTTCATTACTGACGCACGTGAATCAGTTTTCCCATTCTAGTTGTGTTTTTCTTAAAATGTTAAAAATGGCCAAAACATCAGGGAAGGAGAGAATTGATGAAGGAACTGTAGGCTATTTCTGATCGGTTTATTGCCTTTCAACCACGACTCCTTCATAGCATGGCGGTTGACGCATGACAGAATAAATAATGTAATTTGAGCAATTGATTGACACCTTTCGAGTCAACATTTTCTAACGTGGTTTCCTAGACGGCGAAGTACAATAGTGCTAAAAAACCGCATTACCTTTCTCACAGTTGCAATCTGCAATATAATCTTGAATATACGCCACTTGATTTGCAGAAATCGGGCGAGTTCTGAAGGGAATGGAATCAGAAACTTCATATATTCCACATAAAATACATGATTACCAATTTTTACTAATATGTTTCACGTTTTTGAGAACAGATTGGATTAGAAAAATACAGGAAGCCCATTATCTTTAGGTGACGCAGATTATTTGAACAGCACCGTAAGATCACTTTTGAACAAAATACGTGTGACTGCCAGGACTTCCGGCCCACCCCCCGTTCCTTTACGGCGACGTTTATCGCGGCGTATCTCAACGTTAACTGCGCCGCTAACCCAGAAAGCGCAGAGCGACGGGCGCGCCGCGTCCTTCACCCACAGAGGGGCGCGGAGCCATCTCCATTAGGAGCGCTTATTTAAATGAGATGAGATGAGCCGGGGCGGGCGCGCGGGGCGATGACGCCGCTCCCGAATTACGCGCACGACACGCGAGGCCCCGCCCCTC